TGGTACACTTCTTCAAAGACTCTTCAATATGAAATATGATGGTACTGTTGGGGTTAGAGATTATGTCCTTAGGATGGTAGACCTAAAGACGAAGCTTCATGCTCTTAATGTTTCCATTCCTGATGCTTGCATTGTGCATCAAGCCCTGAACACCCTTCCACCTGATTATGGGATTATAAAGACAAATTACAATTCCCAAGATGAGACTTGGTCAGTTAATGACTTAATAGAAAGAGTGGTAGCAGAGGAAGGAGAAACTTAAGAAGGAAAAAGGACATCTAGCCTTATATGTTTCTGGTTCCCACAAAAGGGAGGATAAGAAGTCCAGAAATCGTACTCATGATACTACCGGTCAATCTGATAATATGGGTCCAAAGAAAACATCCTTCAAAAGGGATGGTGACAACTGCTTCTTTTGTAAGAAGAAGGGTCACATAAAGAAGGACTGTGGAAAGTTCAAAACTTGGTTATCCAAACGTGGGCCTACAGGAATTCATAAACTGGAGGAAGCCAAATTAGGATGAGTCAAGACTCACTGTGGGAAACAACGAGAAAGCCGATGTTGTGTTTGTGGGAGATGTTATCTTGATTCTAGACTCTAGCTTTAGATTAATGTTGAAAGATACTATTTATGTACCTTCTTTTAGACGAAACTTAGTTTCCGTATTGTGTTTGGACATGTATGGCTACTCTTTTGAAATCAAGAACAATGTTATTTCTTTGTTTCTTAATTCAAATAAGGTTGGGTGCTATAATATGTCCAACGGATTGTACATATTGTGTTTGTCTCTCAATGACATATACGTCGCTTATACGGCTGAAAAGGTTGTTTCCAAGAGACCACTATCTAAGGAGCAGTCTTATGCATTGTGGCATAAACGGCTAGGTCATATATCTAAGGATAGAGTAGAAAGGCTGATAAAGACTAACATCTTACCTGCTCTTAAAGATGACCTAGAGACATGCATAGACTGTTGTAGAGGTAAAATGACTAAGATAAAGAAGAAAACTGCAGTCCGAAGTTTTGACCTGTTGGAGGTCATTCACACTGACATAAGTGGACCCTATACGGCAACCTTGTGTAGAAATTTTTATTTCATCACATTTATTGATGACTATTCTCGATATGGCTATCTGTACTTGATTAAAGAAAAGTCTGAGTCTTTTGACAAGTTCAAGATTTTTCGGACTGAAGTCGAGAAACAGTTGGGAAAGGTCATAAAGGTTGTTAGATCTGATCGAGGTGGAGAGTATTATGGCAAGCATGGCGATGCCGGACAGCTTAAGGGGCCATTTGCCAAATACTTAGAGGATTCTGGGATAGTGGCTCAGTTTACTATTCCTGGGAGTCCTGAGCAAAATGGTGTAGCCGAAAGGCGCAATCGCACCCTTATGAAAATGGTGAGGAGTATGATTAATAGGACAAATTTACTTGGTTTTCCGTGGGGTGAAGCTTTGAAAACAGCTTTGTACATTCTGAATCGTGTACCTACGAAAGCTGTTCCATTGACTCATTTTGACTTATGGACTGGACGTAAGCCTAGCTTAAACCATCTTAAGGTTTGGGGATGTCCTGCAAAAGTGAAGTTATATAATTCAACATTAAGTAAGTTGGACTCCAGAACCACTCGGTATTACTTTGTATCTTACTCGGATCATTCGAAGGGATATCGGTTCTATAATCCCAATGGAGGCACAAGAATTGTGGAATCATAGACAGCGAAGTTTCTGGAGTTTGATGTGGCCGAAGAAAGTAGATGCTCACAGATTATTGAGGATAATAGTACGGTGGGTAATGTTGTATCTTTTTCTCCTCTCATACAGATAATTGTGGAAACTCCCACACCACAGATTGAACCTGTTGAGGCTTAGGATCCTGTTATCGAGACAGCTCCTAATGAAGTTCCTCAAGGCTCTCAGGTGCAGGATGAGGCTGTTGCTGCTCTAGTAAGGAGATCCATTAGGGAGAGACGATCAGCTATACCACCGGACTATTTAGTCTATATAGGAGAGCAAGATTACGATATCGATTCTGTGGCTGATCCAGTGACTTATGCGGAAGTTGTTTCTTGTCCTCAGTCGGAACTGTGGTTGGATGCAATGAGAGATGAAATGCAGTCTATGAAGCATAATGGTGTTTGAGAACTTGTTGAATTACTTGAAGGTCACAGAACCCATTGGCTGCAAATGGGTATATAAGACTAAAAGGGACTCCAAAGGAAAGATTGAGAAGTTTAAAACCAGACTGGTAGCCAAGGGTTTTACTCAGAGAGAAGGAGTAGACTATGAAGCAACTTTTTCTCCAGTCTCTTCTAAAGATTCTTTCAGAGTGATCACGGCACTGGTAGCTCATTTCGATATGGAGTTACACCAGATGGATGTTAAACTGCCTTTCTCAATGGAGACCTTAATGAAGAAGTCTATATGATGCAACCCGAAGGCTTTGCGGCAGATGATTCAGGTACGCTTGTATGTAGTCTGAAAAAGTCTATTTATGGTCTCAAGCAAGCTTCTAGATAATGGTACTTGAAGTTTCATAGTGTTGTCGCTTCATTTGGTTTTGTTGAGAACAAAGTAGATTAGTGTATATACTGCAAGGTCAGTGGGAGGAAATTCATTTTCCTTATACTCTATGTGGATGATATCCTGCTTGCGAGCAGTGACCTTGGTTTACTGCACGAGACAAAGCGGATGTTGTCAAAGAACTTTGATATAAAGGACCTTGGTGAGGCGTCTTTTGTCCTTGGCATTGAGATTCATAGGAATCATTCTCGCCGACTATTGGGTTTATCTCAGAGGGCATATGTTGATCGTATCTTAGAAAGATTCAACATGCAGCAATGCAAGCCAGGAATTGCTCATGTCATTAAAGGTGATAAGTTGAGTCTGTTATAATGTCCTCATTCAGATTTTGAGAAAGCCTAAATGAAGAATGTACCTTATGCTAGTGCACTTGGGAGTATTATGTATGCTCAAGTATGTACTAGCCCAGATATTGCTTTTGCAACAGGACTTCTAGGCAGATATCAATCAAATCTAGGACACGATCATTGGGTTGCTGCCAAGAAGGTTTTGAGGTACTTAAAGAGGACAAAAGACTATATGTTGATTTACAGACATATTCAGGATCTACAGCTGGTCGGGTATTCGGATTCAGACTTTGCTGGCTGTCAGGATGAAAAGAAGTCGACAACGGGTTACATCTTTAAGTTAGCAAGAGGTGCAGTATCATGGAAAAGTGAGAAACAGAAATCAATGACATCCTCTACCATGCAAGCGGAGCTTGTAGAATGCTTTTCGGCCGCTACTTAGGCAATTTGGCTCCGGAACTTCATTAAGGAATTGACCGTATTTGATTTTGTGGATAGGCCCATACGGTTGTATTGTGACAATAACTCTACGGTGTTGTTTGTTAACAACAACAGAGGTCTCAAGGGGTCTAAGCATATAGAGGTCAAGTACCTGACTATAAAGGAAAAAGTTCAGAATGGTGACATTACAGTAGAGCACATTTTGATAGATGATATGATTGCAGATCCACTAACTAAAGGCCTTCGCCCTTGTGCATTTGATCGACATGTCATTAACATGGGCTTAGGAGTATCATGGGATATTGTTAATTAGTGGGAGCTGTTTAGTTTTATGTTGCTCTTATGAAGTTTGTATCTGATTTTGTTACATTTTGTAATATTTGAATATGTATCAACTCTTTTGCATTCAATGAGGTATTAGTGAATGTAGATTTATCAAGTTGAGTACACATATTTGATGAAAATCTCGAGGAATTGTGTAAACCTTGAGTACAGGCTATGGGGTATTCTTGGTATTAGCCTTAACGATATGTCTTGTTACACATAAGGTACAGTTAACTATAAAGGTAAGACATATGCAGGTTCGTTGGAATCATGAAGGATATTCTCTGGTGACACACTAGGTTTTGTGACACTTGAGGAGAGAGAATTTGGACTGACAAAATGAACAACACATGAAATATCACTCATTATGAAGTATTGTTCATTTACCACATTACCATATTGAATCCATATCAGTAAAGTTGAAAGCACTTGTGACCATGAAAGGCTCTGCGTGAATACATGCAGTTACCGCCATGATTCGGTGTTTGAGACCTTATGGGATCAGATTGACTATTAAGAATGATTTCTAGACCAACGTAAGGGTGCGCACACAATTCTGTTTCAATTAATATCACCCAAGTGGGAAAATGTAAGAATTTCCTAATGTGAGCTTCATTAATTGAAATTAACTAAATTAGTTTGGTCTAATAAATGTGAGATATGTGGGTTCTCAATAAGTCTAATATGGGGCTGGCTAGTATGGGCCAAGTACGGCCTGGCCCGTACTGAGAGGACCCGTGGTCGAAGACTCTATAAATAGCGCTCAAGTCCCTCCCCTAACCTAATGATGCACAATCTGTCTCACATACGGATCTAGAGAGGAATTTCTTCTCGTGAGTGGCAATCTCATTAGGCTAGTGTCCGACGAAGGGAATAGGGGTGAAGCACTTGAGTTCATGTTTGGAAACCGTCACCAATTCCGCGTCAAGTTCGATGGATTCCAAACCAGGTACGCTAATTGACAATTTCTCCATTTACGTGTTTCGGTTTCTAATTATGGTGATCCTGGGTGTGCCATTTTCGTGGCCAATAATGACCGCTCGAGCTCGAAGCTCGCAACCATAGCCGTTTCAGCTCTTAGCTTGAGATCGCCATGACCAAATCTGACTTTGCAACTTGCGGCTAGGACCGTTGGTGCCTGAAGATTACGTTCGCTATAAGCTGACCTTTCTGACCACCAAAAAAAAAAAAAAGCTGACCTTTCTTCGAGCTTGTAGGCAACATGGCCACTCGAGCTTGAAGCTCGAAGCTCGCAGTCACCTTGGCTTCTTGAGCTCGAAGGTGCGGCCATTGCCGGGAGATCTAAAAGCTCGTAGATCTCAAGCTCGTGACTATCATGACCACGTGAGCTTTTGAATTGCGGCCATGGCCATGGATGATGATCGCGCGTGGGTATTTGACGAATTGCATTGGTAAGGTTCGAAGAACTTTAAGAAGAAGTTTAGGTCAAAGAGAGAGTCAAAATCTGGAAAAAAAAAAGGAAAATAAAATCCAAGTGGAAAATTATTTAATGGCATCAGGCCACGTAGATCGAAGAACGATAAGTGACATTTTTTTTTAAAAAGTATAGAGAAGCTTTTGAACAAAAAGAAAAGTAGAGGGCCAGTTTTGAATTTCGGGCAATAATAGAGGGATCACCGGTGATATTATCCCAAAAATATTATGGTACATTGAACTCCACTAGTAATATATGAGAAAAAAGTTGAATAGTGCATGAGACAGGTATACATCGTCCATTTCTTAAAAGTATGTGAAAAAAATTGTTATCTTTATAATAGCATCTAAAAAATAATTTCGTCAAGAGTCCACATTAGCTGCGTCATACATAACAATACTTTGCATACAAAGTATACCAATTTCAATTGAATCTTTTGTTTTATAAAAATTTGATGCGTGACAATTGAATTTTGGTTATTTCTTCGTTGTATGCAATAATAGATAAAAAAAAAGATTATATTCATTTATTCAAGTATGACATTATCTAGTCATATCGTTTGTAAACATATGGTAATCGACACGTTAATTCATCAATTGAATGATGAAAAGATATAAACTAAGTAAAATAAAGGAAATACTTTTATCAGAGTATTATATGATATGTATTTTATTCGTATAATATTAAGTTTTACTCCAACAAAAAATGAATGTTTTCGTGTAAATTGAACAAACGTTCTGTAGACGAAAGTTTAATTGAAAGTAACGTATACACCGGTATTTCGAGTAAAAGTGGAGTATTTTGAAAATAGCATGCTGCTTGCGCTTGCACAATTTTTCGTACAAACTTCGAAATTATAATTTGAGCAATCAAGCCTTTAAATCTCTAAATTTTTTCCGATCAAGTTATTCGATCTACGCATCCAACAAATTAGAGACGTTCACCTCCAAAAATATGTTGTGAAACATTGTTGCTTGAACGCACATTCTATTTGCAGCAATGAAACTGCAAGAACTACAAATTCTTAAGATATAATTAGCAAATTATCAATCGCTTCTTTTTTCCACGAGCAGTTGGATATCTAACGGGAGGACACTAAAAGTGCCAAAAGTTATGTATGGTGCTCACTTTAATGCCAAAAGTTTACGCCGAATCATTCAAGTGCTAAATCAGAGAAAAAATGATCACTGAGGCTCCGTTCATTTCACAAAAAATATGACATTTTTGAAAAATATTTTTCGGAAAGTCATTTTCCAAGAAAATGATAATATTTTCCGGTGTTCGACTGAAACTTGAAAATGAACTAGAAAATATTTTCCGTCGTTCAGTATGGAAAATCTAATTTGATTTTTCCTCCTTGCACTCCTTTTGACAATTTTTTATCTTTTTAAAAACATAATTTGTTAATTATTTTTATTTTTGAATTTTTTAAATAAATTTTTAATTTTCCTTTTTCTCTTCTTTTTTATTCTTTTATTTCTTACACTTCCTCCCTTTGAAAGGTATTTTTTCCATTGGTGGAAAATGTTTTTCACTAATTTATTTTCCGTAAAATGAACGGAGCTTTAAGTACTGACGGCAAGATATTAAAATAAAATATGACGTGGCATGTTTTTTTAAAACCAAGTCCACATGGAGTGCAAAAACGATGTCAAATTTCTGACCTACGTGGCTTGTTCAAAAGAACCGACGTTGCACAACCTCTAGCCAAAATGACGTCACACAAAGCGGATCAAAATTAGGGCTTTGAATTCTTATTCCTGCACAACACTACGAATTCCTCCTCGCTTGCTCGCCAGCACTGTCACTGAGTTGTCATCTTCTTTCCCTTGGTCAATTGGTTGGAAAAATTAGGGTTCCGAGGGCAAAATTAGGGTCAGAGGGAGGGAAAAAGGGTTCTTGGTAACGTCGGGGGGACGACGGTAGTAGAGATTGCAAGATTGAGCAAGTAATTTTGAGGCAAACCGAAATAGAAGTGAATTTGGGTTCAATGGCCGATTAAAGTTTGAAATTGGGGGTTCTCTTTCAATTTGGGGATTTAGGTTTCTTATTTAAAGAAAAAGGTACTAGACGGCATCGTTTAGGATTTAGATGCTGAGTGGACTCTTTGGCGAGCTACGTCGTCTTAAGAAACTAATAAAAAAAGGCAACGTCGGATTTCTAGCCAAACAAATCGGATTTGGTACTAAAATGAGCGTTTTTCAAAAAAATTGACACTTAAGTGATTAGGAAGAAATTTTTTTCACTAAAGTGAACATCGTACATAATTTTTTACACTTCTAGTATCCTTCTCCCATATTTAACTTGTAAAAATTTGTGATGAAGGGACTCAATTGAAAAAGTTTTACGAGTTGAAGTGGGTGATTGGTCACAACACAATAGAAAGACAGTTTTTTTTTTTGGTCGAAAGAAAGATAGTTCAAGTGTCCTATTTTCTTGCTTCATTTTGACTGTATCTCTGCTCAAGCTTCTCCTTCTTAACTTGTCTCGAAAACAAAGCAAACACAACTTCAAGGCAGCAAAAAACAAAAGACAAAAAAGAACCTCGGACCTCCATAACTGCGATCTCCTCACTCCCCTGCCATTCCATCTCCGCCAACTCAAAACGCCGTCATTCGTGGACGAGACCACCCGCGTTTAGGAACCAGTACGACACCGATGTGACCATGCTGAGCCTGTCGGAGCGGCTCTTCCTAGTGGAGTATGCCATGGAAGCCATCAAGCAGGGCTCTGACGCCATCAGCCTCTGGTGGAGGACCCATGCCGTCCTCGCCTGCATCAACAAGGCCGACTTGGAGCTCTCCTCCCACCAGAAGAAGAATTTCAAGGTTGACAATCACATCGCCGTTGCCATTGCCGGCCTCACCGCCCACGGCCATGTCCTGTCATGCTACATGCCCTCCGAGTGCATCAAGCACGCCTTCATCTACAAGTCATCGCTCTCCGTCATCCGGCTCGTCATTCAGTTCGCCAATAAGGCTCAAGTTTTGGTTCCTACTCCGACTATGTTGTGTTACTTGTGTTTGCGTTGGGCGTTTGGCGTGTTATGTGGGGGTTCGATGTAATTGCGGTGTGGCATTGTGTTTTAACTGGAGGAGTAATTATGGATTTACAGGTGTAGAGTTCGTTGATCAGTTGATTGATAGTCGTGCTGATTGAGGGGTTGACGAGGGAAGAAATGTCAACTTGGAATGATATAGGGGTACACAATTTGGAGAAAGAAGTATAATTATGGATTTATTTTCTGTTTCTCTTGCCTATTGAAGCAAAACCTTTAGGCACCATTTTGTATGCATTCTTACCCTTTTCTGAAATTTCTGCTAGACTAATGAGAGTTTGTTCAAGTGAAGAAGTATATATTATGGACTTACTGCTGCTGCTTTGCGGTTGCATGTAACATTGATGTCGTCCTAGAGAGTATGCATATTTTTTTACTGCTGTATGCGGAGTGAATAGTGTCTGTTCAAGTCAACAGGTGTACCTGAGAGATTGCTCCTTTTTCAGTGTATTTCACTGGTTTTGGTATTAGTCTAGGTTCTTCTTGTGTATGGCGGAGACTCAGCTTTTCTGGTCCATAGCTATCTCATACTCGCATGGCTTCTTTAGTTTCAGCTTTTTCTGCTGCTATGTATATAGAGACCTTTGATGTGTATTCGGACGATTACAAGATGACTACTTGTTAGTCAAATTTGTTATGGTCTAGTAAATTAGTAATACATGAGACCTCATCCTATCTGTTCCAGAGACCATTCCCTAAAGGTTAACATATTCTGAGATACTTCCCTTTTCCGGAGAATGCATGAATAAGCTACAGTAGTAGAAGTGGAGCAGAGGTTCAAGATCGGTTTCACCGATCCGAGAAGAGGGGTCGAAGATATATCTTCATTAAATAAACTTAGATATTTGTTGGTCCAAAAAGCATCCTCAAATCAACTTTTGATGATCAAATTGTTGTTGCTCATCATGGATTTATGCTGTAAACCTTGGCCTGTCTCCACCTCTCTACTCAACGTCCCTACCTTTCTATTTCAAGTTCCTCTGATACTGTTGGATTTGTTTTACACCTTTGTGACTGTTTTTTTAAAGCTTTGCTGCACCATGGTAGATTGCATTTTCCAATCTAATCATGGAATTGACAATCACCAGTGGTGATCGATTATTAGTTCGATAAATCCTTATCTTTGCATGCCACACGCTGCTATATGGTACAAAGGCACACAGATTATGCTGCTTCAGTTTGCCCCTTGAATAATTGATAGTTGATTGTTTCTGCTTTTCCTGTGAGCTTAATCAGGTAGATTTACCTCATTCTTGAGTTTCAGAATTTGACAATACAAAAAATGTGGCATATTTGTGTTGTCTCCTCATATGTTCTCATTCATGAGCTAGAAATGACTCAATTATTGTGTAATATGGCGTGTTCTAGTATCATTAGTGTCCTACCCTTTAGTAAGAGAAGGGTTGATCTTGGTCACCTTTCCTGTGCTCTCAAAAGCAGTCCTACCTATCCCTTGTTAGGTGAATCCCTTGCTGCCCGAATGCCCTCCACGCTTCACCATTTGAAATTGATGTTCCGACTGGCGCAGCATCTCCATCTTTATCACAGCATCACCAATTATAATCAGATGTCTTCACTTTGGAGATATAGTAGAAAGTCTGGAGAGAGAAGAGTAAACAAATAGCTCCTGTTACGAATGTTTGATGTAGATAGTTAGAATTGGCAACTTAGGGTGTTTTCATTGTAATTCACTCAAAACTAAAGGGACTTTATGCAGCTTCTAGCACAAAGAACAGACGAAATCCCAATTGAATTACCAGTTTGCCACATAATTTTCTGGCACGTTTGCACCCAACGATCATGGAAACGGCCCAATGGTGTTGGTCTGCTGGTAGCTGGCTTGGAAGAATCTGGAGCCCACCTCTATTACAACTGTCCGAGTGGGAACTGCTTTAAATATCAGGCTTTTGCCATTAGGTCCCGTTCGCAAGCTGCCAAAACATATTTGGAGCGCAGGTTTGAGAACTTCATCGACTCTTCGCGGGATTTGGTCAAGGATGCGCTGATTGCATTAAACGAGACTTTGCAAGGAGAGAAGCTCAAGAGTTCCATTTGCGTGGTCACTGAAGTCAGAGTGGGAGAGCAACTCCACATACTAGATCAGGATAAGGTACAACAGTTAATCAATGCATTTGAGCTTGTGGAGGAGGAAGAACCTCATTCTGCAGAAGCAAGTCCCGCAGATCAGGCCGCTGTTGAAGGAGAGGGTGCTTCTCCCGACCAAGCTGCTGCTCCTACCAAAATTTAAGAATGGTTGAACTAGCAAGCAACCTTGTTCTCGTGAGACTTTCAGCATGTGTTTACAAAGGCGAGGACGAAACGATTGATGGCACCTGCCAGTAATGTCATTTCATTGTCAGGTCCTGGACTTTGTCGACTCATAGATGGGAAAATTGCAAACATGCTATTGCCAGCCTCTTCCCAGTTTAGATTTATATACCTATTTCCCCAAGATATAGTTATTTTTCTTATGTTCCCAGACACATCTCTTGAATCCCTTGCGACTTGCAGTTTCCACATCGTGGCGCTTGCCATAGTCAGTGAGCATATTTTTCATCATATTAAGTTATACTTGGATTCTGTAAAGCAATTGGAGCTTCAAGTGAGTTCGTTGATACCATTTGCTTCTGTATGACCCCTTGGAGTTTAACAGTATCAGCAGGGACAGTATCAGCAGGGACTGCTTAAGGGTCGATGAGTTCCGGACCACTTCTTTAGTAGGCAAGTTCTGGACCACTTGATAAGTATGCCTCTCCCCATATATTTGATGTTCCAGAATTTTACTCGTCCCAATCATCGATATGATTCAGACAACTAGGGATGATTTTCGATTTTCATCATGTCCGAAATTGTACTGTTGAGCGACATTGTTTAGATCCGTGCACCAGTTCAACTTAACGCCGATTCCAAGTCTCTCGTTTTTTTTTTTTTGGTAAGGAAGTCTGTCTCGTTTTTGTAACTCTGTAACGGACAAAAGCGTCGTGTACCCCAACTTGGAGTCTCTTATTTCCCCTCTACAAACCTCAGGTTCTTCGGTGGTCCATATCTGGGATTTGAGAGTGATGACATCTGAAGCTTGTGCATGAAATCAGACTTTTAGCACACATGGTGCATGAAATCAGTGTCTGCAATTGCTATATACTAATTAGCTGGTCACCAGCAGCACAATGGTATTGCATAAAGTATTGCCCTACTGACATATCAGTTTGTTGAATCATTGAAGGTAGCATGTTTCTGAGTACTCGGTACTTTTAGAATGACCGTGTTAACTAAGTACTCTAAGAACACTGATAAAACATAATTAACAAACGCTTGTTAAGTAACTCGAAACATGATGTTTCCTGTATGCATGATTAGAAATTGTTTGGTTCACATCAGTCAGACCAACCCCCATAAGTGCAACCATAACTTCTCTTTGCTTGTCGAAAGAGAAAAATCAAGGGCCTAATTGCTAAGTTGTCTATCTGGGGAGCCTTAAAAATTGATCAAATTTGTTCACACGAGCAAGAATCAGTTGCGCATGTTGGGAAGAGGAAGGCCTTTGATCTGCATTTGCTTGTACATCCATCGCCAATTCTCCAGGGTCACTTCACCCCCAAGGGCTCGTATGACAGAACCGCCACTGCAAGAGCCTGCTTTGCAGCATTCTTCGAGCGACAATCCTTTCACCAAGCCATACAAAAACCCACTTGCAAATAGGTCTCCCGCTCCGGTTGCATCTGCTGCTTTCACCTCGCCTATAGCTGGAACTCGGACAGTCTGGCGGTCATGCATTTTAGTGTCATAACAATGAAAATGAAGCACAACTATACCAACTCCTAGATGCCACATATATGCTGGGAAGAAACTACCAAAAAGTACGCCATTCCATCATTTAGGTCGTGAAACATGGATTGAAGGGACATTCATCTTGTTCTGGAAACACTTCAGGAAAGTTCTTGACAGCATAAAACCAAAAGATATAGTATGTTCACTAATTACCGGCGCTCCTCGTTGACAAGGAATCAGTGCTACTTAAATGCCCGGCTATTCAATGACCAATTTTTAGGACTAATCCAAAGGGCAAAGTACAACCTAATGAAAGCATCTTTTATCTTCTTGGTATATAGTACTATCTAAATTTAAGATAAGCACTTATAGTGACATTAATATTGGCCATTTTACTTATCAAGTTTACAATTTCAATTCGATACGTGCATGTGCAAAGGCATAGAAAGCAACAGCTAGCACGCATGCGCATATGCATAGAAAGAACTTACTTCTTTCCCATGCTTCGCAATGCACCCATTCGAGCTTAATGTAACCACAGCCCATTTGCAATATTGTCCCAGAAATTCAAGTGCAGCCTCAGGTCCGACTTTTTCTTCTCCTCTGCAAGGATTGAACAAGTGGGCTAAGAGAAATACAAACCTCAAAGTCAAATAAGTCAATCTCATGTCAAAAAAGTCAATATGTTTAAGACTTAGAATGACTGCTACCTTAGCAGCTCTGCAGCCTCATCCTCATTGGCAAAGCAGAGGTCTATATTCCCAGACTGCAGCAGCTCGAGAAGAGGTGATCTAAAGTTTCGGACCATCTGGCCACATTTAAGTACTATTAGACAGCGATTTTATTATTATTCCGGAAATAAGAAAGCCTGTAAGGAGAAAGAAGATTGACTAAAATTCAAGAAGGTAAACAGTGAATCCTTTGTATTACTGTGTGCACGGAATATCAATCCATAAATCTGAGGAAAACATGTATTTACTCTCCATTATGATTACAACAGACACCAAATATTTACTCTTCATGTGGGAAAATTTGCCCTAGGACATTCCAATTTTTGGCATTAATACTTGACATACTTAAGCCGTTCAATAAACCAATGGTTGCTGTCCCCTTGACAGACTTAACACCAGCGGGAAAAAAATCCACCTACCTCAAAGCTTGCCAAATCCAAAGATACAAGAAGGCCTTCCTGTTTGGCAATGCTTATAGCGGCTTGAATAACTTCCAGGTTGAATATTGCATATCTTATCACCAACCACTGCAATAATATGACTGCCAGAAAATAAGTCGCAGCATAACTTTGACCATAATATACTGTGGCGAGGATTGACAGAACGATGAAACAATTGATTCAGACGAAAAAAATGCATCAAATTAAAACTGCATCCAAAAGAATGATGAGTAATTTGGGTTCAAAATTTTCAATTTCAACTAGAGACTAACCTTGGATCCTCTGAAGTGCGCTCCAGTCAATTCATCTGCCTGAAAGAGGGGGAGAAAAATAAACAAATTCTTGTGAGCACCTACCGATAGTTCAGTAAATTTTCATTGAGGTACGGTTTGACAATTTGACCATACAAGCATGTGATCAACCAAAGTCAAATATACAGGGTCGAGAAGGAACCTGAAGTTTCACGGCACTTGAGAGACAAGGTCTCATTGTTCGATTCCCACACGCATCGACCAAGCACACGCACTGTTACATGCAGTAAAAAGATGAAGTTCAATAAGTTGTTAATCAAGAACAGATTGTCCATGATAGTACTAAGTTTTTCCCCCCCTCTTTTGGGTAAAGTCTCAATAGCGGTCACCAAAATCTCACCTGACCAGTGGGTCCTTTTTTCAATCTCATCCTGGAGAGGCTCACTCCATGAAAGCTCATGTTACTCACGAACGACTGGCCTTGATCATCGTCACCATAAGCCCCAACTATTCCGCTAGAGACGCCGAACCCCGCACTCAGCCCTCGAATGGTGTTTGCAACGCTGCCGCCAGCCATCGATTTAACAGGAGACAGGTCATTGGGTGAAGATAGGATATGGCTTTTCACTTCCCGCAATATGTAGTCTAGATCTTCAATGGCAACCTACAAAGCATTCACACTGGAATTAATAAAAGGGGAAAACAACATCTTAAGTGTTCAATTGTTTTAGACCAGTTCCGATTGTTCCATATTTTAACAAGCCTAGAAAAGAGAAGACTCGTTTGATTAGATCAAACACGGGCGACAAAAAATAAAATTACCCTTTTCACGTCATCTACTCAAACAAAAAGATGAAGCAATTAAGGACACATTCGGTCTGCATCATAGCACAGACTATGCCGAGACTAATGTTCAGAAACCCACATCCCAAAACAGATGACTATATCATCCTATCCACAAGGACCACAACCACAGTTTGTAAAGAGCAGAGGAATATGAAAGAAAAGCAAGAAAAAAAAACACACAACAGAGAACAATTCAAAATTCGAGCTTGGTGAATCTGAACAATGTACCCAGAAACCAAAAGGAAAAAAAGAAAAAACCAATCTCACTCAACAACAAGCAGTGAGCTGAAACAGAACAACCACCGCAACATCAAGAACACGCTGATCGAGACCATCGAAAAAATCTCAAGGATTACGCACGGGAATGGAACCGCCACGCTCGCCGGGGACGCGATCGAGGAGGGCCCAATCGACGCGCGCCACGTGGTCGATGAGCGCCGCCGGCTGGAGGCCGAGGATGAGCGGAGCGGGGGGCTCGGCGGTGGCTCCGTCGGGCAGAAACTCCGCTCCCATCCCTCTAATGCTCCTCCTCCTCCCCCTCCTTCTTCTTTTGAAAAGAAGAAAATTATTCTGGTTAAATATGAATCGGCGTGATGTGATTGGTGCTTTTCAAAAGCACGAATCAATCACGATGAAAATATCCTCATATCGAACGATCTTTGTTGGCCCTGAGCATCGCTTTTGAAGAAAGAGTTCGTATTTATAGAGAGGGAGAGCTATGGACACCACACCTCGCTGCAACTGCACTGCAGCTGCTCCGTCCACTTCCTCCTCGGAATCGTATATAGATTGTTCCCAATTTGCCCCCTCATATTATCGACGTACGGAAAAATCACACAGGAGGTCTTTACTGTCATCCTTGAACTTCAAATTTATTCGATGTGATCATTAAATTTTTTATATATATTCAATTTAGTTTATGGATGAGATAATCTAATGGCTAGATAATTCAAAGACTAGATTGAATCCAAGGATATAATAATCGAGGGACTAGATTGAACCTTAAATAAAAAGTTCAATGACTACATTAAATAAATTAAAAGTTTAAGGACAACATTGCACATTAGGTCAACGTTCAAACTATTTATGTAATTTTCCCTTTACGTATATTCCACCCCATTATTGACGCCTGACACTCTCTTATTACATTGAATTGATTACATTATTTCTTGTAGGTCGCATTCTTGATTTAAGATGATCTCTTGCCTTTTTTTTCTTCTTTCTCTTTTGATTCAATTTTGTTAGAGACGAAACTTCCCATGCTCTTCTCAAACAACATTTATCAAGATTAAATATGGAGTCCACTCTTGATTTAAGATTATTTTTTGCCTTATTTCCTTCTTTTTTGGTTATTTCCTTTGCTTTCTCCATTTGGAACAAAATTGGTGTCTCTCTTTTCCGAAAAATAGTTTATTTGGTAGATAGATAACTCAATATTGTGTTAATGAGTTGTAAATTTAGCTTTTTTTTTGTACTAGGAAATTATTATTTAAAAAATAACCTAAGCACAAGTAAGAGTGAAAAGACTCAATCTACTGCATTTCGTTTAATTATAACTTTAATAAATGTTGTTACGTTATAGTCTATGTATTTTAAATGCGCAACTTTTTATTTTATTCATTGAGTCTAATAGTTTAATTTTTATTTATTTTTATGCCATTATTGCATGATGTTTCAAAAGATACTTTAAAAAAGTTAAAATATGACAAAGTCACATAAAAAAATTCAAAACACCACTATTATAAGAAAATGCTCCCTAAAACATTATTACATAGAATACTTTATTTGCCTTGATTACATGGTATAATGAGCTGTTGACAAGAAATTATATCAAATGTAATGGCATTATAAGACAACCCGTATAAACCATTTGCAAACACATATTTTTGTCAATTCTAAATGCATTAGCATTTTCATAGAATTATCAATGAAAAGAAATTTATCCACTACAATAATAAAAAGTTGCATATGCAACTTAACAAAAGATGTTGTCAATTTAGCGGCTTAGCTCCCCTAAAAAGGTTACTCTCTCAAAAAAAAAATTTAAGCTAGATAAGACAATAAAAGTGTTCGATTACATCAATAAGAGAGTCATTATTCACTTAAAACGCATAAATATCAAGGAATAATTTTCAATTTTTAGTGCTAGAAGCTCCAAATGAACTTGTTGACATGATTGATTATTGTTCTCCATTTGCAGTTTTATCATCAATAGAGACATTTGAGCAATTTGGATTCTCTTCAATATTGTTTTCCGTTGTGACTGTACTATCAAAAACAATACAATGAAAGATCAGTAAATTGTGTACAATGCATTCATCAACCACAATATTTAGTCTTTGAGTAAATTATCGTAAATTTTTACCAAAAATTGAAGTCGAAAAATTCACGATCGTGAGGATTATCTAGGGAAATAAAGTTAATAATTTGTGGAATAAGTTTAGAAGAAGACAAACATGAAGGAACCATTGAAATGTAACGAGTGTAGAAAAAGCGACCTTAGTGAAAAAAAAATTGTTTGAAATTGAAATGGGTAGTTTTGTGGTTCAATAAAATTAAAACAAAAAGAAGAAGAAAAAAGGTAAGAAATAATATTAAATCGAGAGTGAGACCTGTAGGGGATAATGTAGTCAATTCAATGTGATAGAAGATGTCATGAGCCAATAAAGGGTAGAAATGACTTGAGCCTAAATTATATATGCCAACATATCAATACACAAGTGTGGCTATTTCCACACTCTTTTTGACTCAACACGCATCCTTTTACCGGAGCTGATTGAAATAGCCTAAACTGGACTATTTTGATACGATAATAGATATCATTAATAATTTACAAAGTTGTTGCACTGAAATCACATTTTGAGGTTTTTTATTTTTCAAATTTATTTTTTTGTGCATTGCCATTTTAATTTTTACTCGACGAAGACAAGGAAAATCGATAGATTTGAATTCTACACCTACTATCTAAGTTTGAAGATTACATCCAATGCATTGACTCGGCCTAATTTGTTATTATTTGGTGTTGCTTTGTTATAAAAGTAAATTCCATCAAGCATAATATCAAACCCAGTTTCGTTGAGACTCTTAACTTATCTAACGAGTTCTCTATTGACAGGAAAATATAAATTTGAATATGTTTTGAGTCAAGAAATTGTGGTTAAAATAAATACTGGTAAATTAAATTTAATAAAAAAGAATTGAAAGACTCAAATAAGAAATTTAGTAAAATTGATAAAAATTTCAATATTTTAAGAAATATAATTCTTTTGACTTTTTTTTTCTTGTTACCAAATAAACCCAAAAGACGCATAGAGAAATGACATTAAATCTCGTGCTTTTGGTTAATGGAGTCAAATGAAGTATGATTTGATTCTCCATCATGTTGAGTTTTTTTTTTTTTGGGTCAGACATCATGTTGAGCTTCAGTGACAAGAATACATGCTCAAAGGAATGAGGGGAAGGAACATAAAGTTTTCTATAACCCGAGTTAGACTCCAATAAAAAGGTTCTCCACTACCCTTTGTTTTATGATAACCAAAATGCATGACCGTAAAAGTCCGGTTACATTGAGGCTCATGAAATATCCCAGGAGCCACAAACCGATTCGGGTCACTAGCATGTATAGGTGGCCCTACCTAAAGCAGCTTGCAATGCATTTTGTGCGATTTATTGATGTCCTTTCATTATTGAGCTGGAAACTATTGGATTCCCTAATCAACTACACCAACTCTGGGGGGTCAGCTTACGTAAGAAGCAATGGTTGATGGTAGTTATTAATGAGTTATTTCCATTATCAATATGCAAATGGTAATATCCTACTCTTGATCTCTGTACTGGTTTTTTTTTTTCCAATCGAGTTGTTGAACTTTTTATTTATCTAATCAAGATTTTGAGCTTGCATAATTTTTTGATCGTCCCTCTGACTTCAAATCTAGTTAATTGGAGCTTACGTGGCCGTTGGAACTAGTACGAGTTTTGGCACGAAAAGCTTTTGAATAACAATGCTCGTGTCAAAAAATTTCCTTGGTCAAGATCTGGTCATTGTCTTCATTTTCAAGTTTGCGAGTTAATGGTTGACCAAAAAAAAAAAGTTTTTGAGTTAATTGCCTACATGGCAAAAGGTTTTTCCACACATGATTCTTGCTGGCTTCTATGGATACGTTAGCTCTAAAAAGGCGAATTTGGAGCCGAAGGAACTTGATTTAGAAAAAAATTATCTAACTTCAAGAAATGGATTTAAAAGTTCAAGGGCTCAATTGAAAAAAAAATACACAAATTCAAGAACCAAAAGCGAATTTTCACCTAAGTAAATTTAGTCACATAGTGTGATAGACCATACCACCAAAATCATCCCTCTCTTGAGGTCGAGAAGCTGCATCGCATGGATGAGATCTCACTTGTATATCTTTTTTTTTCTTTTTTTTTGGGCCAAGATGAGACCTTACTTGCCAACAACAAATAAATGGAGCTCACAAGATGTTGCGCTCAGTCCCACATCAAAAGGGATAGGTTCTGAAGTGATCCATCACACATAATATTTGTCATTTTAGTATTCTTTTTCAGGCTTTGCTTCTGTGAATTGAATTGGGTCATTACTAACAGTATAATTTGTTTGAGATAAGAAGCTACATATCACCGCCTCTCACCAATGCTAATAGGCCATTGCCACCACACGGAGTGCTGAGTACGGCTGTTATCATCCACTATGTTGTCGATGTTGTGCTGGAGCTTGCAACCCTCTCGGCCTCTCACCAATGCTAATAGGTCATTGCCACCACACGGAGTGGCGAGTACCGCCGTTATTGTCCACTGTGCCGTCGTTATCACGCCGGAGATCGCCCCTCTCTCTCTCTCTGCACACTTGGCGAGATCGAAGGTTGGTCGAGCAGGAGTTCATAGCCTTCAATTCGAGGTCGCGAGACCTTAGATCTAAGGTCTACGCTTCAGCCAACCACAAAGAGAGACAGCGAACGGGGGACTTTAGTGGTGGTGGATATGTAGTCTAGCTATTCGTCGTTGCATTGGGGATCGTGTTGGCTAATCAAGGTTCGCGGTGGTGCTGGCTGCATGGTGGTTGGCCGTGGGGGCGTGGTGGTCACCACAGGTAATGTGGTGGTGATGTAAAAATCTGAATCGAGAACAAAATAGATGTCTATTTATTGGTTATCCCAAATAGACAATTGAATATTGCTTATATAATTCGGGTTAATTCCTTAAAAAACCCTCAACTTTAGGTTTAGTTTCAATTTTACCCTGAACTTTTATTTTGTCTTGTAAGATCCTCAACTTTAACTTTAGTCCAAAATCTGCCCGAGCGTGAAAAAATTGCCTCAAATTTCTTCAATATTATCAATATTAGGAGGTTGCTATTATTTCTTACAAGGTGACGGTGTTGATAAAAACATAAGTTCTAATAATGAACTTCTAACTGGTTCTAATGTTGATAATTTTGAGTAAATTAGTAGTGATTTTTTAACGTGTGGGCAGATTTGGGACTACAGTGAAAGTTTGGGTCTTTTTATGAGACAAAAAAAAGTTTATGGTAAACAACACTCCAAATACTCCCGGCTCCAAACAAGAAACCAGCCGTCCCGTGCTCCGGCCAGGGCCCCATCGCGCCGGGGACGTCGCCGGCTGGAGTGGGCTCGCTCTCGGGGATCCGGCGAAGCTCCGTCTCCTTCCTGGGTCTTCGACGGGGAAGGCGCGAATCTGGATCTCAGAGGG